ATATTTCCCAAATAAGGTTTTGAACAAATAGCAGCTTTGCGGGATAGTAGTTATTTTTCAAAACAAGATTCCAATGTCTGAGAAGTTTGCCAATACAAGAAAACTTTGTTGCACAATTTTGGAAAACCATTAGTGGGCATTGCACATCTTCAAGAAAGAATATGGCATGCACTGTTCCTTGACACACATATGTGTGCGCACACACCCGTGTGTGATTGCATATACAGTATATGTATACACATATGTGTAATCTCATTTATATAGATTCCTGTCATTATTATATAACTGGAAATAATTATTATATATACATCTATGTCTTTCACAGTACACTCATAAGAAAGCACAAGCTTGTATTCATCAAAGTGCTCAAACTGGTGAGGTTTTCTACTGACCCCTGCATACCTGATCCTCTCTGCCCCTGTGCTCTCAATGTAACATAACTCGACAATGACGATAAGCTCCTAACTTATTCTTCAGTGCACAGCATAAAAGGAGGGAGCATTGCCATACTCTGAAGTTTGCATTTCCTCCAGAAGACATAAAACTCAAGTGTGTTAAGAATGACCCAGAATCGTTACCTAGGACGAAGCATTAGAATGACATGAGCCCCTCGCACATCTCCTAGGCAGTCCTTTTTCTCTAAGGAGACTTATAGAGACATTTTTTGAGACAAATTGTTGATATCTGGGAAATTTCCAGTAACAAAAATGATGAAAGTTTAATTTTTAGACTCTCTCCTGACCTAAATTGACCTTGCCACAAAAAAGTGGCTCCTGGTTGTATAATATCCCGCTGCCTGTTTCATCTCCCGTTCTGTTCTTAGAGCAATGTTCTGTGCCCTGCGCTTAGAATGACCGAAGATGGACTCCAGTTTCATCACAACAGTCATTTTTATGAAGGCGACTATAGTGAGATTTGAGCACAGTATTACAAATTGTACTTTAAGAGTAAATACCGTGTCAGGCTGTATAATCTCCACAGCATATCCCCGCGAATGTACT